ACTTAAAATCTAAATCTATAGCATCTCTAAATAAAGGAGTAAGCTTGTACTAATCCAAAAATATTTTTTTTTAAGAGATCCAAAAATAGACTTAGTCACCTAAACTATCTATATTATTGCCGAAAAAAAAAAAAACAAAGGAAAAGGGTGGAAATTAACAAGTCTTAGTCACACGGGTTAATTAGAAGGATAACAAGCCAAGAAATTAAGATGAGTAATTAACTATCATTCCATTTGTATCATATTTTTTTCAGTCTAGTACGGTAGTAACATATTATTAAGTATAAAGTAAATTTCAAAGATATTTTAAAAAAAAATAATAATAATATCTTTTATAAAAAAATAAAAATATTTTGAGATAGGTCTTAAAAAAAATAATTATATTTGTATATCTTAGATAATTTTTTTAAGTAAAATTTTAAAAATAATATAAAAAGTGACTTCCAAATTATAAAAAATTAAAAAATATTATATAAATATTAATATAAATTTGTTTTTTTTTTTAATGAAGCCTAAAGTTAGAACTTTATAAAGAGCAGATGTAAACCCTTTGGCCTGTCATGATCTATATATGTCAATCCCTTAAGTTTCTCTTTTATTTTAGAAAAGGTTTTTTTTATTCTCATACAAATGCTTCTATTCATTAAAAAAAATGTGTTTCTATTTCTTAAAAGACTCTTTTTTTATTAGTGTTTTGAAATAATATAACAAAATTTTATTATTATTGACAATTATTTAACAATAATAAATTAATTATTTCTATTTTATTATCTAATAAAAATATTAATAACTAATATATAATAACAACTAAAAATGTATATACATCATACTAAAATTTACTATTAGCAACAATTATTTATTGAAAAAAACTTAAGTCCCACATCAACTAAAGATAAAATAATTAAAGAGTATATAAGTGGATGATAACTCTCACTTTACAAATTTGTTTTGTAGGGTTGAGTTAGACCTATAACTTACTATTTTAAGTTGGTATCAGATTACTCATCATAACCAAATTCAATAGTGCTAAACTTGAGGGGTGTATTGGAAAAATCTTAAATCTCACATCGACTATAGATAAAATATTATATTAATTAGGAAATAAGACATTTAAAAAAATAAGAAAATTAAAGAATATATAAGTAGATGACAACTTTCATCTTACAAGTCCTACACCGATTAGAGATAAGGTAATTAAAGAGTGCATGTAGAATGACAAAAGATTTTGCAACAATTTTTATTACTATTAAAAGTTATATTAAATGCTACTAAAACTCTATTTTGTTGTAGGAGCAGAAAGTGCTTTTGAATGTTTTCTCACTAGTATTTTAGCATGTGTGTTACACATGCATATTTATTATATAATTAAAATTTATAATAAATTATATATATATATATATTATATTTAAATATATAAATGATATATATAATTATTATACATAAATATTTTGAATATATAAATTATATTTTAAATTTATAATAAATAATTTATATTATAAAAAATATTTTTATTTATTAATAATTTTTTAATATTTAATGCATCAATAATTTTGATAAATAAAAGCCGAGTTAAAGAAGAGATTAAAAAATTCCATATAAATACACTTGTTAAAAACCCTAAAAATAATTTCGTGCAAGATACAAATTTGTATTTAATATATAGAGATTGATTGGAAAAATAAGGTTTTATTCATATGCAATTTTGATAGTGTATTGACGTAACACCCCAAGTTTTCTAAAATTATTACAAGGATATTTTGATTAACTAAAGGAGTTTTATAAATATTTTAAAGGCTTTTAATAATTACGAGTATTTTTAATAAATATTTATGAAATTATTTTGTATAATATTTATTGAAAAAATATGTGTTTTTCTAATATTTTGTTATAATAAGTATTTGGAAAAAAATTTGTGTTTTTATTATAATTTTTTTATGTATTTTATTTATAATTGGGTTAGGAGAAATATGTTTATTTTATATATTATATAATTTTATTAATTATTTTTATTTTATTATTTTGAGGGAAGGAAAAGAGAAACATGTTAAATGTTTTCACTGATTGGGTTAAAGGAGGGGTTAAGTTTTAAAAAAAAAAAATGGGTCATGTTAGTTTACTATCTCACGCTTCTCATTTTTACACTTTACACTCTGGAGTACTAAGATTCAAAAATTGAAAAAAGTTCCTCTCAGAGATCACACGTTTTACCACTCATTAAGGTAAGGGAGAGTGAGTAATCTTATTTTGGGCGTGGGATAATTGTTGGGTAGTGAGATTGACCTATAATTTCTTTTTTGTTGTGTGTGTTGTATGAGTGGAAAACCCAATTTGTATCCGTTCTTTAAATTTTGTCTTTTATATGATTCTTCATTGTTCTAATTGATAATATTTATATTTAATTTTGTGGATTGAACTAATCTTGTACATCTTGAATTACCCGTGAGTTCCTATGGAAACTTTAAGAGAATGCATTTTTGATGATTGTATGAAAAGTTGAATGAGTATGTAATTATGTGTGTTATATATAATGTTTGAATTATATATATAATTAATTTCCATAAGTTAAGTTGTTTGAGAATATTGAGTGCCTGTAGTTCCTATAGGAAACCCTTATATAAAGTAAAGTGAATATTGATCTTAATTGTGTGAATATATGAAATTGATGTTGTATTTGAGTAATTAATTATATATTAGAATATTATTAGACTTTAATTTATGTTTTTACCTATTGGATTGGGACAAGAGAGTTTGAGTGTGAGTTGTGCCTTATTCTGAAAATTATGGTATGAATATACTTTGGTATTTATGTGATTTTTCTGTGTGTGATAAATAAAATTGAGTTTTGATTGTTGGGTTAGAAAGTGTAGACATTTAGGGCTACAATTTAGACTCATGAATCACATAAAAATGTTAAGAAATGACCAAGTTACGTCAATTAAAATATGAACCTCATATTCTGTGTACAAAATCTAATATGTGTATGTTGTAAGCCTTTCAAGTAGGCTTAAATGGCAGAATTAGGTTTCATAATCTTCATAAAAGTTGTAACACTAAATTTTAGCTTTCAAACTCTGTTGGACTTAAAAATGAGATATAGAACTCGAGTTATGGTCAAATTGATGAGTAAAGGTCAAGTTATTAGATTTAGTTTTAAACGTTACATTTTTGTATTTTTAAAAAAAATAATAGATCGTAAAATTAACTTTTGAAGTCAACATAGAAGTTGTAGAAAATTTCCTTAGCTTTCTAAAAAAATTAATACCAATTTAATAACATATGTATAGCTCTAGATAAGGTATTTGGAAAACATGTTGTCTTAGAAGATTAAGTTATGAAAATATAGTTTGTGAATGATGATAATGAATAGTTTTACCTTTTAGGTGTTTGATCTTATAAATGGTTTAAGGTACCTATAACAATATTTAGAAAAGGAGAAATCATGAGAGGAAACCAACGGGAATAAATGATGTGAGTTGATTATTAATAACTTGAGGTGTATCGAGTTAAAGAATGTAAATGTGTGTTTTAAATGTGAACATGTGACTTGTGTATGATACAATGTGTTGTGTGTTGGTTATCTTGTCCAATGAATGATTCTTGTACTAATTGATGGATATAATTGAATAGGAAATTGTGAAGTTATGAGAATTGAATGTTGTAAACTAAATGTGTATGAATAATTGTTAAATGATAAATTGTTTAAGTATGTACATTGATATCTTGATAAAATGAATGAGATTTTGCCTTGGTATATTGATTAAACTATTGTGACAAGAAAATTGAAATACATTTTTTATGTGTATTGTTATAATACGATAATGCATTGAGTCTTGTTTGATATGCATCATACACATAATGAGATTTAGCTTTTGGGCGGTGGCTTTCGGGCCTCAACTGATAGTTGTGAGCCTTCGAGCAATGGCCTTCAGGAAACAGATGATAATTGTGAGCCTTCGAGTGGTGGCTTTCAAGCAACAATTGATAGTTGTGAGCCTTCGAGCAATAGCCTTCAAGAAATAATTGACAGTTGTGAGCCTTAGAGCAATAGTCTTCAAGCAATAATTAATAGTTGTGAGCCTTTGGGTAGTGAATTTTGGGCAATAGTTGATAGTTGTGAACCTTTAGGTAATGGCCTTCGGGCAATAAATGACAATTGTGAGCCTTTGGGTGGTGGCTTTCGGGAAACAACCGATAGTTGTGAGCCTTTGGGTGGTGGGCTTCGGGAAATAATTGACAATTAATTTTATTGGTGTCATATGCATATGCAACTTGAAGTTTGTGTTCATTGTATTATGTGTGTTAATGTGTATTCGTGTGATGAACATTATTGCGAATTGTGATTGACCTTGTTGCCCTATTTTATCCTTGATATATGTATGTGTATATATTGTTGTTGTTATACCTTGTTGTTATGTGTTTGACTTTCTGACTATCTCCTATGTCGTGAGTTAAAGTGAGATATTTCTCACTTCCCATTTCTTATTGTTATTCTTTTTTAATGTTGTTGTAGGTGAGATTCATCATGATGTTAATGATGTTGGTGATGAAACTTAGTCTTTGCTTTTAGAATTTTGCTCTAATAGGATGTGACATTGGGATTTAGTTATGATTGATTTCTTTTGTTATGCTCATAAGAAAATTGTTACTTCTAATGTATTAGGCTTCAGTTGAACTTTAGTTGGTTATTGTTAGTTAAAATGTGATATTCTTCATGTTGAAAAATTGAGATTTATTTATGATAGACTTTTTGATTCAATGTTGTTTATTTATAGTATTATGGTATACTAGATAAAGGGTGTCACAGTTGAGATGTCCTAAAATTGTTTTAATATGGATACATTATGAACTAGTAAACTCAAAAGTATATATGATTTAAAATTAATTTATATATTTATCATTAAAATATAATATCTTAAACTAAAGAAGTAATGGAGAAAGAAATAATATAACAATATATATTGGTTCACTACAAATCATATAAGTTGCATTCAATTATCAAATTAAAAAAATATATTGAGATTTCATTACATTACAAAGTAATGAAAGTATTCTTTAACTTGCATAGAATAAATAATTAGATGTTTGTTTTCTTAAACATATTCAAACCGAATAAAATAATTAAGGCTAATACATACTACTAGTTGTAAACAACATTTAAAATGAAAACAATTGTTTATCTTGGAAGAAATTGACTTATAGACATATCATTGTTAGAGAATGGAGTGGAGCCATTGATAGAATGACTAGAACTTGATTCCTGTCCCGATAATTTTGGATTCATTCTACCATGTAAGAAAAATGCAGGTTCTTGTGGACTTGGCAACTCAATTAAATGACTACTAAGATATGAAACAACCGCTACCATTGTTGGTCTATCATCAGGATTTTGTTGGACACATAATAAACCAATTTGAATGCATTTGATTACTTCATTTTTAGAATAATTTTCTTGGATAATTGAATCTAATATGCATAATTGTGTTTCATCTCTCCATTGTCTCCAAACCTACACCAATATGTGAAATAAAAAATCCAAGTTAATATTTCTCTTGACCCATAAAATCCAAGTTAATATATGTATACACAATTGAATTAATCTAACAATTGAAAATATAACATATAAGAAACTATAAATAATACAAAGAACCAAATTGTTAGATTATAATTATACTTACGTAACTTAAGAGGCCATTAGCAACACGATGTGGTTCATAAGAACTTAGGTTCTGTTTTCCAGTAATAATTTCAAGAACCATGACCCCAAAACTAAAAACATCCGATTTTTCTGAAAATTGTCCAAACATTGCATATTCTGGAGACATATAACCACTGTAAGATAAAATAAAAAAATGTTAATTTATCCAAAACATACCCTATGAAGATGTAAATAATGAGAGGATGAGTAAGAATATTGTTTCAAACTTACTATGTTCCAACAATCCTATTTGTACTCCCCTGGTCTTGATTTATTTCAACGATTCTAGCCAAACCAAAATCTGAAATTTTTGGAATCATATTTTCATCTAATAAAACATTACTAGGTTTAAGATCACGGTGTATGACTTTGAGTCGAGAATGTTCATGTAAATAAAGAATTCCTCGAGCAATCCCTCCTATAATATTGTAACGTTCATGCCAGCTTAAAAACTTTGACCTTTGAGAATCTACATGTTTGAATGAGAAATGTAAGTGTTGAACCATTTTTGTAATCTACAAGTTGAGTTAAATCAATATGTAAGTGTGAAACATTGTATTCTATAAGCTACAAGGGATACACATGCATATACACATGCAATTAATGTATGAATTTAAAACACACATATATGTATGTATGTATGTATGCAATGCATGAATGCATAACATTAAAGAATTGAGTATAAAAGTGGCAAGTGTCAAACCAAATAAAAAATAGTCAAGACTCTTGTTTGGGACATATTCATAAATAAGTATTTGGTGTTGTTCATCAAGACAAAAGCCGACGAATGCCACAAGATTTCTATGTTGAAGCTTCGCTATCAATAAAACTTCATTTTTGAACTCATTTATGCCTTGCTTAGAGCTTTTTGAGAGTCTTTTTACTGCTATTTGTCGTCCATCAAGAAGAATGCCCTAAAAATTAAATAATTATTATTTATGAAAAAAAACACAAAAGTAAGTATATGTCACATTCTTTACCTTGTAAACTTCTCCAAATCCACCTTTACCGATCCTATTATCATTTGAAAAGTTGTTGGTTGCGGCTTCAATTACAACCAAATTGAATTGTAGTGGCTCTAAAGTAGCACTTTCATGGCCAACTGAATCAAATATATGTGATTGATTTGTAAGTTAATTAAGTTTCTAAAGTTCTTTAAACATAAAAGGCATAAGTGCAACATATTTTTCTTTAACAACACGTACAATTTTCTCTAAGGATCACAGTATTAACCCTCTTTCTTGCTTTTCTCTTTATCAAATAGTAGCCAAAAGAGAAGAGTACCACCGAAACAATTGTTAGTATAATAATCAAGATCATTATTCGCGATTGGTCTTTTCTTTTTTCTGCAAAATAATCAACATATATATGTTACACACATCAAATAGAAATAGACAATTAATCATGCCAAGTTATAATATGTTGCTAATAACATGGAAGTGGCTTGTTTCCTCTAAATATTATGATTCATTATAGTCTTTGTTACATTTTACACATTAGTGAGTGAACACTTTGATCAAGCTAATGGTGGTGGTGGTAAATAGTCAAACAAAATCAAGTTGGTTTACAATTCCAAATTTTAAGATAGAATAATATGCAACATTGATTTTCTTCATCAGTCTAAATATTTTATAAAATAGTATCTTAAATTTGTAAAGTAATGATGACAATCACACTACAATAAAAATGATTTGTAGTGATAGAAAAAATTTATTACTATAAAAGTTAAAATTTTGTAGGTAAATAGTTATGTTGCATTGACCCACAAAGGTCTATATTCATGTATTATATGTGAGTGGTATAGTAACAACTTTTTAGATTTTACCTACAACTAACTAAAAGTGTAACACTCAAGGTTTTTTTTATAAAAATAAAAGGTTTTTATTAAATTAAAAGAGCTTTTCTTGAGAAATAATGCAGTTAATTTATTTAATTATATATGTATTTTAAATAAATGTATTAGGAAAAGATATGATTTAGGTTGTAGGTTAATTGAGAATAATGTAGGTTGTAGGATAAAATAACAAAATAATGTTACACTTGTTATTTTATCACTTACGTTCCACCCTTTAGGCTTTGAAAAATTTGAGGAACTATCGGAAGATTTGAAATATGACCGCCCTAGAGGCATGTGCTTGTCTGCATTACTTATTGAGGTAAGGGAGTAGTAAGTAATTTTACTTTAAGTGTGAAATGTTTGTGGGTAGTGAGGTTGACACCCAACCTCATTAATTATGCATTTATGTGAAGGAAAAATCCCAATTTTGTTTTGTGATATGTAAATTAATGAGTTGTGTTCTTATGCATTCTAATTACTATGATTGATATTTAATTTAGTGTTTTGTGTTTTTTTTTATAATTATATTATTAGTATGAAGTATTTATCAACTTTGTTAATGACAAAATTTTGTCAGAAAACCTGAGTAGCCACATTTACTAGAACCTCTCTTCTCAACCATATATTTTTCATATATAAGACTCAAATCCAAAATTTTAATTAAAGAAACTGAATCTAATACTATTCAAACTATCTACTTATTACTAATCCATTATATGAATTTGATTGTGAAGCAAAAATTCAAGTACAGAATTATTCTGGCCAGCCCAAATTTTTACTGGTGTGAAGTAAAGTTGTCTCAACTCATGGACTAGTCCATTTGGCACGCAGTCCACCAAGGACTAAGGTGGACTAGTAATAAAATTCCTAACCACCATTAAATCGACTAGACTTATGCTAACCCAAACTTAATTACTTGTCCTCCTGCTAGGGGAAAGTCGTAATAGGCGGCTCCGACTAAAAGTTGACAATTCAAAACTTGTGGGACAATATAATTTCATGTACTATTTTAAAATTTTAATAATTTAAGAAACTAAAGTATCAACTACTAAAATTTTTATGAGCAAAACACCTTTGAATCCCTAAAAGTATGTCACTAGTCTATAACATTAAAAAATTCTAAATAATTTTTTTAAAATTCTAATTTGTTAGTTATTATCATTTTAACCTCTTAATATATATTAATATTATAATCAAGATAATATTATATACTTTGATAGACTTTTTTTAGCCGATTTTAAGAAGTAAAATGATGATTCGCTTGGGTTCTAAAACATTGAAAAACACTAGAAAAAGCAAATATTTGAGACCTGATGGAGAAAGATTAGCCGGCGTTAGAGATGGAGCTTCATCATCGACCCTGTAAAATGGGGACAATTCAAACCTGAGATTGCAACTCGGATATAGAACTCTTCCACCGACGCTTCCCAAGCGAGACCATGGGATTGTTCCAATTATATCTTGCAGACAACCCATACAATCATCGCTAGACAAATCCTTCGTACATTGGCTAAGAGTGTAAAGGGTTTGTAAATCATTCAACTTTGATGATTTAATCTCGTATCTCTCATTACTATCCCGTATCTCCTTTGCCAGATTAGCCAACATAGTTGATAATGTATAAGTGAAGAACTCTTGCTCCGGTATTGAATCTGAGGTATCGGTAACATTCAAGATTTGAAAAGTTGGACTTGTTTCCATTTTGGAGAAGAAGTAGCGATAGGAATAGCGAAGCATGCAGTGGCTGTACCAAATGATAGCCTCTTGAAATGAGTCACACAGTGCGGATATTTGGTGTGTTGCGTTGAGGACGCATTGTTGACAGAGGCGTGAGGGAAGGTCACCACGGCACATGAAGAGGCCATACACAGTGTCCTCCACACTACCCTTATATTCGTTGCCATTGGTGGCATTGGAAGACATGTAAGAGAGAAGGGTCTTGAGATATATTTTGAAAGAAGTGTCAGCAGTTACATTAGTTGAGCAACTGTGGTTTAAATAAGTTGGATCTTCCGAAAAACGTGAATCTGCATTGGGAAAATTTGACGCAGGAACCTGTGCTTGTGTTGGCATATTTGTGGAGCGATAGAAAGGGTAAAATTCATACCTGACATTACAACTGGGATATAGAACTCTCCCACCTGTCTTCCCTTGGCAGCACCATGGAAGGTCCCCTATTACTCCACTAAGACAGCTTCTGCAATCTTGGGGTGACAGGTCCGGTGTGCACTGAGCTAGACAATAAAGAATCTGAAATCCAGACATGTTTGTTTGCATTGTGGCATACTTCCTACGATTGCCACGAGCTGCTTCATCTGCAGTTTTGTTTATGGTGTGAAACAACAAACGCATGAAGCTTTCTTGGTTTGAGACATTGGCAGTGTTCAAGAGGGCAACTCTAGGCCTGGTGTCGAAGGTGGAGAAGAATGAGCGGTTGGAATAACGAAGAGTGCACTCGTCGTACCAAATGACAGCTTGTTTGGACAAGGAGCACTCTGTGGATAGTCGCTTGGTTGCATCTTGGACACATCTTTGACAAAGCTGAGGAGAGACATCACCCCTACACATAAACAATCCAAAGACCGAGTCTGAGGGGTTTTCTCCATGAACTGTGGTGTTGTAGAATCCAGTGTCGGTACTGGAGGCCTTAGATGATAAGGAAGAAAGAAGGGTTCTGAGGTTTAATAGGAAGGCGCTGCCATCGGTACTGTTGCCCCCTGAGCAATTTTGGTATATGTAGAGAGGTGTGGAGTCATACTGTGCCTGAGTAGTTGCAAAACTGAGGAAGCTAACAAGGATAAAGAACAAGGGAATCTTAAGGGAAGCCATGGATCATGTGTGTCTTACTTAGGACTTAATTATGGTTTGTAAACAACTCTTCCTTTCCTTCATAAAAAGGTGAGCGAGTCATGGAAGTTGCTCTTCGGTTTGCAATAACACAAGTCAAGTCAATGGAAAATAAACGATAAGGTGGAAAAAAAATGAATGGTATGGAAAAGTTTGGCCTACCATAAATACAGGATGCAGATTGATCGATGCTGATGTTTCATGCTAAATAAATGGATTGGAGTATGGATGGCTTCCTTGAAATTCCCCAAGTTAAACAGGTTGCTCAAGGAAGAATTAACATCAGACATTTTATTTTTCTACAAGTACAGTCAATGGGGAAACATCTCTACCCTCCTGGATATATGGCCTACTACCATGTTCAACAATGGGAAAATTATTCATTAATCTAGGAATTTCAAATGCTTATAGAAATTTATCACCGACCTCAATCGGAATATAGGATATTAATCAAATCAGTATTAAACTTATGATCTGAATTAAAAAAAAAAAATTATCGACAATTTATAATCCCTAAAGTATTATGCTTAAAAAAATAGAACATAGCTTAAAAATATCGAAAAACTCACAACATAAACTATAATAATTCCACGAGTTCAACCTTTAAACTGACATCCGTTGTGAAAGCCATTTTCAAGAGTTGAATATAATAAAATCCAACAGAATTGTGAAATCACAAGTATTATTTGAGAAAACCATATTGTTTGACCAAATAATAGTGCTGCATATTAGATAGAAATTTGTTCACTTTTTACATAAATATCACGTTAAAAGTAAGAGGGAAACACCTCATGAACAATAGTAGTTTACAACTTACCATATGACAACTTAATCAATTTTCTTTTATCAACTTAATCAATAGTAGTTCATATTAAGTTACGGACTTGTGGTTTTGTAAACATTTCTTCGTTTCCTACCTTTTTGAAGGTGAGCGAGTGTGGTGGAAATTTTGGTTTGCGAAAGTAAGTTAATCATAAGGCAAGTCAAGTCAATGAAAAATAAACGATAAAGTCAAAAAAATAAATAATGAATTGATGGAAAGTATGACGAGCGCGGGGACCAGGAGACGGATGCATATATAGGAGAGTGGGGCACTTCTTTCCACTATTTTTTTTTTACCATTTACAATAAACAAATATATATATATATATATATATATATATTATTTTTATAATTTAAAATATCATAATAAAATTATATTAAAAATAGTGCCTCTAGTAATTTATTTTAGTTTTTTTTTTCAATAGATATTTTAAATTAAATATAAGGATAGTTATAAAGGTAAAATTGTCCAATAATGTGACACTAAATAAGATAAAATAGTGTATGTGTGTGTGAATTATTTCTCTTCTTATATCTTTATGTGTATAAATAATTTTTTTAATTATCTAATTCTTTAATCTACAATATTTGTCTCTTTTTTAATTAAATTTTAAGATTTAGATTTAGAATTTAAAATTAATTATCTAAGTTAACAGGTTACCCACAGATGAATTAATATCTAGAGTTTATCTTCATACGATTAGTCTACAAAGAAAATATCTTTTCAGTTTTCACTTACCCTGCCCAATATGGGTTAACTATAACACCCTAAGATTTTTCTACTACTACTACTAATTATAATAATAATAATAATAATAATAATAATAATAAATAAATAAATTAATTAATTAATTAGGGAGATGATAATGATTTTATTTTATTGTGTGACTAATAATTTTTATTTTATACATTTTAATATATTTAATCAGTCAGGAGAGGATAAGAAATAATTAAGATAAGAGGGGTTTTAGAGAAATAAAAGTTATATATTAGAAGAGAAGCGAGAAAGGAGGAGATTGTTATTCATTTCTCATTTTCATGTTCTCTAATGTCATGTGCTCTAAAGAGGACGCATCTAGAGAACAAGGAGAAGAAATCATTGGAGTGGAGCCGAAGGTGTAGATTTGTTACTTTGCATCACTCCAGGTAAGGAGGGAGTGAGAACACTCATTTCTAAGGATTGAGTGTATGCATGAAGGGTAGAGGGATTGATCCTAATCCATAAGTTTTCTATTTGGTGAAATATTGTGTGCGTTTGATGTGATTTGTCGAACATATTTTGAATATGTATTTTATTTGATGATCAAATATTTTAGAATAATTAATTGAATGCCTTGTAGGAATGGGTTAAAATCCTAAAGGAGAAGAATTTGATGAATTTTAGGGGTAAAAGTTTTAAACACTGAAATTGGTGAATTTTTTGGATGTAAAATGTGTTCTGAGTGATTTTAACTCGTATGATTGATTTGAGTGATGTTTGCTTCAAGATTTTGTTATGGTATTGATGTGTTTAGGTGTTGGATCGTACGTGGCGTCAAGCCCAGGTGCTCGACGTCGAGCATGCCTTCATGTGTATGAGGCACCACCTAGACGTGCTGGCACCGGGTGGGAAAATGTCCACACCGGGTGCAAGAGGATTGTGATGCGCTTTGTTGTGGCTTAAAGCTAGACATGATTTTGTGATGCTAGGCGTGAGAGGTCTTGGGTGCTCTATGCCTTGGCTTAAAGTCGGGCGTGACTTTGGAAAGCTGGGCATGAAAGAGTCTGGTGCTCTCTGTCTCGGCTTAAAGCTGGATGTGGGTTTCCAAGCCTGACGTAGATTACAAGAGGCCTCACTTTGACATTTTAAAAGATGTTATCATGTCATTGATGATTGATTATATGATGATGATTGTGTGTGTGTGTGTGTATATATACCTTCGAATTCGTCCAAGCTCAAACATTTTTGTTTTATAAAGATAAAGAGAATTGAACTATCAAAAATGGCAATATCGTACTTTCATATTCATGGCTAAAGGAAGCAATAATTCAAACCTTACTTTTTACATAAATTAAGATATCTATGAAATAACAAGTGATCAACTCGTTCACAAGATGCCTGTTAGTCCATACTCCATATACATTAAGACCCCATTTCAAAGGTTTTTGGTTTTATTGTTTCATGAAAGCAAACACCTCAAATTTGAGTTCAATAAAAAATAATAATAACAATAACGGTGCTTATTCTAAGTGCTTTTTTGATTTGAGAAGCACCCTAGTTATAATAGTTGCCTTTTATATAGGGCCCAAACAGTAGTGAGAGTATTTATGAAAGTGAAGTGGTTGAGTAGTTTAAGTTGTTACACGTAGGGAATTAGCTTAAATAATATGAAAATTGAGAGGGAAGGTGAGGTGTTCAGATTTGTTAGCATTGAAAACAGAGTAGTAGCTCAGTTGTAAAAGGGGAAATCTTTGGAAGGAGGATTCTCTCCTTTAGCCTCTGTTACAATTTCAGCAAAGCATTACAAACATGTTCTTTCTCTTTTCTCTTTTTTTTTTCATCATCTCCCTTTAATCTTCATTCTATTTTTTGGTTTGTAACACCTCTTCTATTTGAAACCTGAATCAATACAATTTTACGATATCTGTACTATTTTTTGTAATTTTACATACTTTTTTGCTATAAGGATTAGTTTCAATACGATGGAATATCAACTCATTCCAAAGCTAATCAACAGTGAATGATGAAGTGCCACATAATTAATAAAATAAATAAATGATATATTAAGGATTAAACAATAAATATACCAATTTAAAAATATTTAAATTAATAACAATTAAATAAAAAGCTAAAATTAAAAAATCCACATTTTTTCTCACTCTTTACCTTACACCTCTCTTTTAATTGTTCCACTGTCGTCTCATTCTAATTTTTCCAAATTTCCATTGCCACACGTAGCACGAAACTATATATGATAACAATGTAGAACATATACCCCAAAATCTGCTTACTAATTCTTCATTTCATAGAGTCTAACTATTTCCTTGAGTGAATTACAATCATCAAAGTAACAAATATCAGTAGCAATATGCTATATAAGGATGCTTTGGTGAAACTATATCATATCAATGCTCCAATTCAAAATAAAATCTTTCAATTTGCTGCTTTTCTTTCAATGGCATCCTTTCTTTGATACAATTTGAGGAGGAAGGCATAGTGAGCACCGAGAAACCCCAACTAAGAAAAGAGAGAGACCAAAAAATTAAGACTTTTGTTTTAATTTTAGTTTCTTATTTAACTGTTTTTCAATTTGATCTTTCAAAATTAATATATTTATTGTTTAGTCCCTAATGTATATTATTTATTTAATTTATTTAATGATGTGCCACTTTGTCATTCACCATTTGTGCATTCTAGAATGAGTAAGTGTTCCACCGTATCTGAACTCATTTTCTTCTTTTATGCACTAAAAAAATTGTTTTTTTTGAAGTGAAATTCATAGAAGATTTTATATTATTTTTATCTACCAAATTCCTGAATGAACTTTATAGTAGTTTTTTAAAAGCACCTACAAGACATAAGCTTTTAAATCAACATCATTCTCATATGAGGCCTAAACCTATCAGGAGAAGCTGAACCAAATGAATCATACAATGCACTATCAATATTAGCAAAATAAATAAAATAATAATAATAAAAGATATGAAAGCATGCCTACCTTGAAGTCAAAGGCTTGCTGAGTTGATTCGAGATATATGCTACTGCATTCAGATCTAGAATCTCCTTCTCTCCTTGGTCTAAAACATATCATAAAATTGCAGTCTTTTGTTATTGCTACTATTAGGTAGTCCTTCACAATTCTCAAGCTTTCATCCAACGAAGCATAATGCAAAGAGAAATATCTTGAGTTGCTCTTTACTCAATTCTCTACGTATCATGCACTGTTGACAAGTTATGTCATAATATGCATGGATAGCTCCTTCTATGTCAACATTATCAAGCTTCTAAACCTCTAGGAGCCGATCAAGGACTCCTAATTTTTTGACAGCCTTAGCAACAAGAGTAAGCAAGTTCTCTGTACAGTGACCATCATCAGCTCAAATGACAAACTTAAGGGCATCTTCAAATGCTATAATTATGGATTTCTGTAGCATATTCATTGTATTCAATATTATATCATACTTAATACTTTCATATTTTCCAGTTTAGTAAAATCTTGAATTTCTGAATACTATAATTATGAATGCAGGAATTCCTTCCAATATAGCTAAAATAAGCTATGGAGATAGCGTACGATAGTTTCTTCATCTATAGTATTTTCTCTTCAGATAGTTAAGAGTTGTAGGATTTCTTCATTATTTATACACCATAGAGGAATTATAAACATACATTGCTATCATAGCTTGAAATTGAATTTCATTTGTGTGCATTATTTAAAACTAAAGAACAGTTGAAGTTCTAGATACAGCATAATGTATGCATGTATTCCAATTAAAAAAAAACTATTGTAATTTCATCCTCCCAAGTAGGGGGTCACTCACATGTACTAC